CTGCACTGCTTCGCTCAGGGTAGAGTTTGCTTCTGGAAAGTCATGAGAGGAGGTGCTGAGAGACACTGCAGGCCTGCAGCCCCAGCTCTCCGCCCATCTGTGAAGTGCTAAGGTGACAGCCCGGACCACACTGGCACTGAAGGACCAAAAGATCAGCTAAGCAACCAAGACAGTCGAGAATTGGCCTCGGGTCACCCAGAAGGGAAAGGCAAAGCTGAGCTCAGAATCACTGGATCAGGCATGGCGGCACACACCTGCACTGCCAGCTACTCGGAGGCTGAGGCACAAGGATCGAGTTTGAAGCCAATCTGGGTAATTTAGTAAGACTACTCAGTCTCTGGAAGGGGGATGGGACACCTTCTCTGGTGCACTGTCCATCCCAATCCAGCTTGGCTGGGCCCTCTCCAGGCAGGGCCTGTGCGCCTGAGCTGCATCCCTAACCCTAGGCCCTCTCAAAACTGCCTGGTCCCTCCCACGTGCTTGCGGAAGTCACTCCGGTCCTCCCGCGAGTGTGGAGGCCGAAGCTGAGTTCTCCCTTCCCTGCACAAGGCAAGGAAGCTGGGCTTTGCTGCGGTCAGGGGGTGGGGAGCAGACACACGGATGGAACCTTGGGGTACTCAACCCCGGGTTACGCCCCAAACCCTTATTTTATTTTAACTTTTACACAGGGTCTCGCTAGGCCTCGAAAGGAACTCAAATGTGTGCCTCAGCCTCCCAGAGTGCTGGGATCACAAGCGTGCGCCATTGCGCCTGGGCTTTGCCCGAGCCTGGCCGACCTCAGCCCCCTGCGGGCGTCCTGACCCCTGTGTGGGGAAGAAGGAGGGGCATGGGCTGCAACCTGAGCGCCCGCTAGGAGCGCCACACCAAACGTCTCTCCTGATCCCCAAGGCCAAACGGAGCCCTCTCCAGCTACCCTGGACTCCCAGCTCCCCGGCAGCCCTCTGTGGCCCACCAGGCTGGACGGGCACGTGCGCGCCCTGTGCTTAGTAGTAAGGTTTTAGTAAATCTCACTCAGGCCCCAGCTGCCACGTGCCTCCTCTCCAACACCTGAGCTTTCCTTTGTCCCTGAATGCACGTCGCAGCGGCAATCACCTCTCCCAGGAAGCCTCCTGCGCTGCGTCCTCCCCAGTGAGTCAAGCCCTTGTCCTGCCTCCCTCTGCGCCGCTTCCCACTAGCTGTGCGTGCGTGAGTAGCTCAAGGGTGGACAGGGCATCAGGTCCATCTCTGCCCCTCGCCCACTCCCTAGGACCCTGGTATGGCCAAGCCCGCCTGCACGGAGTCTGGCCGCTGCTGACTCACAAGGAACACTTCCCATTAGGGACAAGATCTGTATCACCCCCACTTCCAGGTGGGCGATCCGTGGGCGGAGCCACACAATTAGCCAATGCCAGAGCCTGCGCAGGAAACCACCCCCAGGGTCACGCCCCCACCCGGAACAAGAACGGGCGGTCGGCGATAGAGCTGAGAAGGGCACGGCAGACCCCAGGCCAGGTCACACAGCGCACGCGCGACCCTCGCCAGAGTAGCAAAGCGCACGCGCGGCGCGCCCTCCTCGCCACCCCGCAGTCCTGGCTGGACGCCGGTCACCACCGCCCAAAAGTCTCCTCCTGTCTCTGTTCCCAGGCCCTGTCTCCCGTGGAATGTGGCCGTGGGCAGACACATGGCTGGGAGAGGACACATGTGACATCCAGCTGCGACCCCACGGCTCGAGTCCCGCGTGGCCCCCTTCTCTCCCTGGCTCTTGCCCTGTGCAAGCCTTGGTCCCTCACTCCCACGCCACCAGAAAGGCCTTCTGGTTCCTGCACAGGCAGCTCACACTGTGTTTTCCATTCCATAGACTCTCGATTAGAGGATCAGGCATTCTGTGCTCAGCACTCTGCACCCTGCATCTGGGCTGGGACCCCTTCTCTCACCCTGGGCATAAACTCCCAGTCGCAGGCCTTCTGTTCTCCTAGCCCACAGAAGCAAATCCCCAGACCCTCCTGCACCAGCCTTCCCCTCACCCCCATCAAAAAAAAAAAAAAAAAAAGGATTGCCTAGCAGTCACTCTCACCTTCGTATGAATTTCTTTAACTAGTGCCTCACACCTAACTCCCCCAAACTAACCTGCAGTTCAGGAAAAGGGGAAAGACAAACAGGCCCAGGGACAGCAACCTAGAGCCTGAGTCAAACAAGAAACCCAGCGTCCAGAGGGCTCCCCAAAGGACAGCACCGGGCTTTTCATTCTACTATCATCCTGGCTCCCACACTGCAAGCAACTTTGGTGGAGCTGCCTGTCCCTGAGCTACTGCTTTCCTCCTGTGTTATGTGGGCGTCTTGTACAAGAGGCCGAGATGGACTGACAATGTCCTGTCAGCTCTTCGATCTCCCTCTGCTGCCCCGCCCTGCCACCAATGGGTCCTCACCTGCCAGCACCTGTGACCGAGCCCCCAACGTCCCTCAGGTGGCTGTGACAGCAGGACAGGGACTGTGGAGTAGTAAGTTCCAAACTAGGCTCAGGATACTTGCATATGAGACAAACAAGGGCAGCCTGCATCCCAGGTTCCTGGACACTTTGCTGGGACATAACGCCTATCTCCAGACACCAGAAGGCACAGCTCTTGGGGACCCCAGCCCCTGGCAGCTGCATCTGTGCTGTCCATGGGGTTTGACACTGGAAGCCAGGTCAGTGAGATATCCTGTCCCCTTGTCACAAAATCCCCTCCCTAGAACCCAAGTGAGGATAGGCCGCCCTGGACTCCACTCTGCCCCTTGGGTCTGGAATGGGGAGTCCTTGCTAGGGGAGGCTTGGGAGTCACAGGCTGGGATTCACATCCCAGCCCTCCTATGGACAATCTGAGCCTCTGAGCTGCTGGCCTGTTTCTGAAGCTACAGCCTGGGGAGAGTCCCAGCCATCTCGTAGGCTGGGGTCAATGTGCCAGATGTCACAGAGGTGGAGAACATCAACAGTCTCAGTACTGTGCATGTCATCTTCTGTCATTACTGTCACTGCCACCACTGCTGCCAGTCTCTGAGCATCAAGTGTCCCCACCTGACTCTCTGCCCCATCACCCTCCTGCCACCATTTGGTCTATCTTTGCAGTAGAACCTGGGGGTGCACCTGTCCCCTCTGGGCCTACCTCTATAAGTGTGACAGCCAGAGCAGCCCCCAGTCTGGAAGTGCAGGAGGGGACACACATCCTGCTAGGAAGAGGTATGGATGACCAGTGAGACAAATGGGCCACTCACTTCCCAAGGCCACCTGGAGCTCAGACCAAAGCCCGTTGAGATCTCATGCAGCCTGCCACAGGAAATCCCACATTTTTTCCCCAAATCTTCTGGACCCTTAGAATTCCAAGCCACTGAGTGCAAAATTTTTCCCCCAGAACAGGGGATTGAACTCAGGCCCTTGCGCTTGCAAAATATTTTTTAATGAAGCCACGCATCAAAATCAGCAGTGACTGCCTTGTTTCCCAGTACTAAATAGCCTGCTCTTTTTAGGGAGCAGAAATCCCAAACACTGCCTGACTGGACCTCCAAAGTAGCCCAACCTACTAATACAGCTGGGTGGAGGTGGCATCTGCCGCAGGCCTCCCAAGCTCTAGGGGGCGCTGTCTCCGGGAACAGATTGGAGGCAGGGCCTCTGGCAGGTGCTCTAGGGTATTCTCCTTCTGGCCGCCCACCCACAGCCCCAGCACACTGGGGTCACATGTGACTACCTGTAGAAAGACAGGTAGAAACACACACGCAAGTCGCCACCGTTACAGCAGGGCCAGGGGCCGTCCGAAGGGCCCATGATCTAGACCATCAGCACAACACGATCTGTCTCCATGAAAGTCTCGGGTTGCCCCCTGCCCCAAATGCCGTGGAGCTCACATAGGCGCAGAGGAGAAAGCAGGGACTGCACTGTGAGCCTCTCTCTGCGCTGGGCCCGGTGTTCAAGGGAAGGAGCTCAAAAGCAAAGTGGGCCCGGAGACACAGAGGAGAACAAAGCTACCCAATGAGAGGTGCCACCGGAGCCCAGGGGACAGACAGGAGAGGACCAAGGGGACCCGAACCCTGCACACGTGTGGTCAGAGCAGCCAGTCCTGTCCCTCCTGGAGGTGGTCACACAACCGGGGGAAGGGCTGGGGTCACAGCCAGGCAGCTGCGGACAGTCCTTTAGAGTGGAGGGTGACAGGCCGAACTCTGTACTGAACCCATTCATCAAAGGCCAGTGATCGAAAGAGAGTATACAGCGGTGAGGGACACAGACCCCGACGCACAGGCTCTCACGTCCCCCAAGTCCCCTTTCCTCTCGGGTCCCCTGCCCCAGAAGTCCCGAGCTAGTGTGTGAAGGGCCCCATGCAGGGCCTGGCATGCAGCAACACCCCTAATGGGAGATTTCTTCCTCGGGCTGCAGCATGGTGTCCCCGCACCACCAGCCGAGTCCCTCCGGACCCGACATCCCCAGTCACTGCCACCGCTTCCTCCATGTTCAGGGGTTCTTCAGGCAGCTTTCAATTACAGGAGTGGGGACTTTTGATTATCGAGGCACAGCCCCCGAATTAGGGACCCACACCAGGCTTCTCTCTGCTTCCTGTCACAGGCCCCAGTGCTCAGAGAGACAGGGGACCTCTGGCTTTGGGCAAAGGCCTCATTTGCCAGCCCCTCCCTGTGCTCCTCTTGCTGCACTTCCGCCCTGTTTGGACCCTAAATGTCAGTACTTCTTTCTGTGTGGGGATAGGAGGTAGATAAACATAGGGCAGAGTCCCATGCCATGCTGTCCACTACAGCGGGAAGATCCCCTGCCAGGTGACAGCTGGAGCCTGCTGGCCCCTCAGCCTTCCACAGGGACACCGCAGTGGGTTCCACTCAACTGTCCCTCAGCCAGGGGCACAGTGACTCGGACACTGACCTTCTTCCTATGCAAGGGGTAGGAGGAAGAGAACCCAAATGGGGAGGGGACATCCAAAAGACATCCGCCAAGCCCCTGCCACCTGTCTCTGGCCGCAGTTGAACACGCCAAAATAAATGCCAACCTGAGAATTCACCCAGAGCGGTGATGAGGGAGTTGGTGGCCTCCGTTTCAGTGTAAGACAATGTGGAATCGGACAGATCTGCAGGCAGAAAGAGAAAAAAAATACTTAGTTGGCTGGCAGGGCTGCATGCTCTGATGCATCCGTGTACGTGTCTGTGTGTGTGCGCACGCGTTTGCTTGTGTGGGTGTACACACGTGTGCATGTCTGTGTAAGTGCGTGCATCCAAGTGCTGGCAAAGGAAGCATAAGGTGACCCCTGCAACTTCTGTCAGCACGCTTAGTCTGCCCGGGATCACTGCGGCCCAGCCTGGAACTCTCCTGGTAGATGCAGGCTGCTGAGGTCCTGGTGTGTGAAAACATAGCCAAGAGCCCAAGTTCAGGGGCCTGAGCAAGTAGCAACTTGGCGCGTCCCGGGCAGGGTGAAATTAAGCCCCGAACAATTCAGAGTTGCTGTACTTAATTACAACCATTAAAATTCTTGAAGGTGTTCCTTCTTGCTTCCTTCCTTCCTTCCCTCCTTCCTTCCTTCCTCCTGCTAGAGCTGGGGAAACTGTTGGAACAAGCCACAGTCATCTTCACTGTGTCCCACTTACACCCCTCTAATTAAGGGCTCAACATTTGCTCCTAGATTAACTTTCTTCTCCCTCTCTTTCTCCTGCTCCTCTCCCCTGCTCCCAAGCACCCGCACATCCTTGTCACATAATTTTCAAGGCCTACACTGTTTGTTTGTTTGTTTTTTAAAGGTGCTCTTTTAAAAAAAAAAAAAGTAGCTTCCAGGCCTTCATGTGGCCTGCAGTATTTGCTTTCTGCCTGCAGGGCAGCGGGCTGGGGAGTGGAAATCCTTCCGTTCCGGAGCTGCTAACCTGACAGGCCACTGAGTTCTGGGACAGGCAGGCTTGAGACCTGGCTCCTGGGCCTGGCCCTCTGCTACCAGCGGGGAAGGGACAGAAGGGAGCAGGGAGGCTGCAGCCAGCGCCCCCAGATCCAGAGGGCCTGGCCCCACCTGGCCTACTAGAGCCCCAAGGGCCAGGGATTCCAGGGCCAGAACTGAGAGCCTGGGCCCGAGCTCGCTAGAAGGCCGCCTGCTCCTGTAGGAATTTTTTCCCTTTACCACATGGTCTGGAGAGCGGGAAGATGAAACATTAACCAAATCGCCTTTTTTCTTTTTCTTCTGCCGTACTTGCCAGATGCTGACTGGGTATTCTGGGTTTTATTTTGTTTTTTGGTCTCATGTGATCACAGAGGCTCAGAAGCAAACTGACTTTTTGTTTATGAAAAGCCGCAATGCAAGGAAAAGAAAATAATACCAAAAAAAAAAAAATCACACAAAGCCCTCAAACTATGTACCAGGGCACAAAAAAACGTCATCTGCTGGTCAAAGTAGTACGATGAAAATAGGGGCACATGGAAAATCGTTAAAATAAATACAAAGAAAAGCCCCTCCATGTGTCTGGAGGAACATCATAATAGACTTTTGCTCCTAATAACGAAGGTCCCCAAGTGCTCAGAGCCACTTCCACCAAGGTGGGGACACCAGGGGGCTGAGTCCCCAAGGGTGCTGCTAGCTCTCACCTTTCAAGGGTAGCAAGTCCTCCTCAGTCACCTCTCACAACGTTTCCAGAGGGCCCGAGGGGCAGCTCAAGATAAAAACAGTCCTGACTTGCACATCGCTGCCCAAGCCCCTAGGAGGCACTCGGTTCGAGCCTCGCCTCCCCAAACAGTGAACTCAGGGATGCTGCTCTTTTCTGTCAAAAGCTGCACATGGAAGAGCTTCAGCTTTCAACCAGACAGTTCGGAACAACTACGCCCTGGGTCTGTCTAGTGGAGGAGCCCAGGGCCGTCTGGAGGTGGCCAGGCGTGACTATGTCCCTGGACGCGAAGTCTAAATAGCATGCCATTTTCACAAGTCAGGAATCATTTGATTTTTTTTTTTTAACCATTTGAAAAATAATAACCATTTTTAGCTTGAAAGCCATATTGAAACAGGAGTAGACTGAGTCCAGTGACCACCAGCAATGCTACTTCCTTTTTCTGGGCCTCCACTGTCCCATTCATAATAAAATGGGGACATTCTATGGTTGCCCCAAATGGTCACTCTGCAGGGTATGTCCCAAGTTGACGGACAGCCCCTTGGGGGCATGAAGCCCTGATGTTCAAACTAAGCTGTTATATTTTTCTATGAACTTTCCAGGGTTTTGTATGATTTTCTCTGCTGAAACTAGGGATCATCTATGAGATTAGAGCCATGACACGAGCTTAGTCTGGAGCGGCAGGGTGGGCACCCTGGACCTGAGCGGGGACTGCACCTTCTCAGTTCCCCAGCAGAGCCTGCAGCTCCCCAAGACCAAGGTAGGGGCCCCTAGACCTTTCTGGAACAAAAGCCAGGGATGCCATCCCAATCAGCCACTGACTCGCACACCCTCTTGGGGCATCTCTGCCCCCATGGCGAAGGTCACACTACTGAGGGTATCCGGCAGCACCCCATGCCTTAGGGGATAGGGGGCTGGGGAAAGAGAAGTACAGCCCTGAGAATCCAGAACCCTCAGATGTGGCCTCCACCTCCTCTAACCAGGTGGTCTGTGTGTGTGTGTGTGTGTGTGTGTGTGTGTGTGTGTGTGTGTTACCTGGGATCAAACTCAGGACTTGCACTTGCTAGGCAGGCACTTAGGCCGCTGAGCTGTCTCCCTAGTCCCATTTCCAGGTG